GCTAGAAACCCGGACAGGAAAAAAGCAAGCGATCCAGGCAGAGCTCGCTAGATTTCATCTCCATTCGAGGCGGAGAAAAATCAGAGTGATTGTCCAGTCGTTAATGGCGCTGCCATATGGCCTCGGTCACATGGTTCGTGACGTAAGGGAAGAGAATCTTGGGGTCACGGGGCTTCCCCTGACCTAGATTCTATCTCTCCGTCACTGGCAGAATGGCTGATTAATGCCTACAGTTCAAAATAGTCACTTTGACTGACCGGAGTCTATGGTGGGTAATTGAACGTAGTCAATTTGATAAATTCATACGATTGTTCAGTACACTGATTTATATCCAAATTTTCTGTTCATAAAGATAAAAAATTCTCTAATATTGATAACACTAGAAGTTAATATAACTTCATTAATGAACTCTTTGCCAGCTCAAATTTATCCAAATTGTGCTTTCGTCCATTATGATAAATCTAATGGACAATCTGATACTATGCCATAAAACATGCACATAATTTACTGTAAATATAACTAGCCACCAATATACATTTCACTGTAGTACTATTAATCTCATATTTTACCTTCTATTCCTGCATCATGTAATATCTCCAATAACTTTCTTTCCTTTGCCTTCATTGAACGACAATCAGCAAGTATTTTTTTATAGTTTTTTCTTAAACCGCAAGCATAAATATAACGTTTAAGATTCTTTAATCTCATACTGTCTTGTACATCATCACTGGAGCCACCACTTTTTTTTCGCGATTTCTAGGAAATAAAGAGGACATGTGACAGTGATATTAATAATATAACTTACTAGTGACTTCTTTGTTCCTGATGGTTCAATCAATCAATGGAACTCATGAAGTGCTAAAATCCAGTGAGAAGTACTGTTCGAAAGTGCTGAGCAAAATGTGAATGTTAGAATGCCTTAACAAAGTGATGAGTTTTATTATATCTTTTTAAAACTCAACACTTTAAATGGTAGACTATTTCATGAAGTTGGAGCTATGTACATGTGAGAAATCTAAACAAATCTAGGCACATGGAGTAGACATTTGTCATTTGATTGAAGTACACAAAGTACGGGTCTGAATTAAATCAACAATATATACCAGGACAGTGCTATTTGAAGGACATCAACAGAACAATTTTATTTGAGAATAAATGTAATATGATCTGACTTTCTGGCACAAATAATAAATCTGGTCTCTGGTTACAACTTCTGAAAATGTGGCTATGTAACATACTGAGCCCTGTCCACAGACGTTTTTCAACCAACAATGAACCCAGTTATGATGGATGTTGTTAGCCAAGATTAAGGTATACAGACATGCAATACATTTTAAAGATGGGACCTATGTTTGTAGGTCTGTTTTTTCAAACCAAG